GCCCGGCTTCTCCTGCCACGTCCTGGTCCCCTCTCTGCTGGTAGCCCTGCTCCCACTACCACTGCTCCCACATACTAATGGCATCAGCCCCTCTTGCACCTACTGATGGCATGGAGCAGTTGGGGCCGGTGCCAGCAGCAGTTGCAAGCAGGACTGGTGCGATCAGAGGGTATGAGTAACGGCTCCAGTGCCAGCTGTGGGTGCAAGCAGGGCCATCACTGGCAGTGGGTGTGAGAGGCAGCTGCTGGCCCCAATTGCCGCTCAGGAGCAGAGGAGGTGGAGAAACCCTGAGGGGTGATTGAGGCTGGCAGCCGCCACTTGCACCACTGGTGGCGCAAAGTGATCTGGGCCAGTACTGGCAGTGGGTACAAGCAGGGCGGGTGTGACAGCAGGTGCAAGCCCTAGAGGGACTGTGGCATGTAGGAGCAAAGAATTTTCAGAAACTACCCAGAGGCTCATTCTGATTACAGTGACTGGCACCTCACCTGCTCCACCATCCCGTTTATCATTGCAAAAAAAAAAAATTAAGATACTTAAGAGTAAACTTAATTAAGGAGGTAAAAGACTTGTACTCAAAAAACTATAGAACATTTTAAAAAGAAATAGAGGAAGACATAAACAAATGGAAGAATATATCTTGTTCATGGATTGGTAAAATCAACTTCATTTAAATGTCTATTCTACCCAAGACAACATATAGATTTAATGCAATTACCATTAAAATACCAATGGCATATTTCACAGACCTAGAACAAACTCTCCAAAAAATTCATATGGAATCAAAAAAATATCCCAAATAGCTATAGCAATCTTGAGAAAGAAGAACAAAGTTGGAGGGATCACAATACCAGATATCAAGCTATATTACAGACACTCTTCTCAAAACTGCCTGGTACTGGCACAAGAACAGACATGTAGACCAATGGAACAAAACAGAGAACCCAGAAATTGACCCAAGCCCTTATGCTCAATTAATATCTGACCAACAGACAGGAGCATACAATGGAATCAAGACAGTCTCTTCAATAAATGATGTTGGGAAAATTGGACATATATATGCAAAAAAATAAAACTAGACCACAAACTTATACCATACACAAAAATAAACTCAAGATGGATAAAGGACTTACATGTAAGATGGGAAACCATGAAATTTTTAGATGAATACATAGGCAGCAAAATATCATACATAAGTTGTAGCAATATCTACAAATATAGCTTCTAGGGCAATGGAAACTAAGGAGAAAATAAGCAAATGGTGCTACATCAAAATAAAAAGTTTCTGCACAGCAAAAGAAACCATCAACAAAACAAGAAATTTCAAGGCATGGGAGAACATATTTGCCAATGTTATGTCCGATAAGGGCCTAATCTCCAAAATTTATAGGGAACTCATACATCTTAACAAAAGAAAGATAAACAATCCAATCAAAAAATGGGCAAAGGACTTAAACAGACACTTTTTGAAAGTGGACATACAGAAGGCCAAGAGGCATATGAAAACATGCTCAAAGTCACTAATCAAGAGATGCAAATCAAAATGACAATGAGATACCTTCTCACACCTGTCAGAATGGCTATCATCAACAAATTGACAAAGGACAAGTACTGGCGAGGATGTGGACAAAAAGGAACCCTCATACACTGCTGGTGGGAATGCAGACTGGTGCAGCCACTGTGGAGAATAGTATGGAGTTTCCTCAAAAAACTAAAGATGGAACTCCCATTTGACCCAGTGATCCCACTTCTAGGAATATATCCCAAGAAATTAGAAACACCAATCAGAAAGGATATATGCAACCCTATGTCCATAGCAGCACAATTTACACTAGCTAAGATTTGGAAACAAACTAAGTGCCCATCAGCAGATGAATGAATTAAAAAAACTGAGTTATATCTACACAATGGAATATTATGCTGCTGTAAAAAAGAACTCTTACCATTCACAACAGCATGGATGGAATTGGAGAGCATTATGCTAAGTGAAATAAGCTAGTCAGAGAAAGATAAACATCTCATGATCTCACTCATTTGTGGAATATAATGAACAACATAAACTGAACAAAAATAGATCCAGAGACAGAGAAGCATTGAAAAATCCATCAAACTTCAGAGGGAAGGCAGGAGAGGGTGTGGGGATTGGGGGAGTGGGGTGTAGGAGATCAACCAAAGGACTTGTATGTATGCATATAAGCATAACCAATGGACACAGACACTAGGGGAATGAGGGCATGTTCTGGGGAGTGGGGGGTAGGGGTGGTCAGGGAGAGGTCAATGGGGGCGGGGGAAAGGAGAAGATATATGTAATACTATATGTAATACTCTAAACAATAAAGAATCATTTTTAAAAAATCATTTGGTTTTAAATTGTTCATTTCTATTAAGAAATGTAATAGGCCATGTAAAATGCCATTGTGAATTAATATAAATTGACTTAAAAGCTTCAGATCAGAGAAAGGATAAATGAAATTTTGAGGGACAAATAACATCTTACTGCTATGATCCTGAGATTTATCTCCATTAAATTCATTCCTTTGTATGGACATTATCTATAGAATCAACCCTTTAAAATAGCACCATTTACCTGGAACAGTGTGCATTAGTGGATTGGTGGGGTGTTTTTGTTTTGTTTTATTTTTGTTTTTGTCAGTTTGTTTTTGTTTGGAGAACTGGAATCTAAGCCATAGCAGATAGAATAATAGAATAGTCCACATACTCACTCAATGTGCACACAGCTAAAGGGATACAGATGAGAATAGTGAAGTTCTGACTCTGCTGAGAGATGACTCATCTGTCATCTGTCCAGATACTAAAATAGGGAATGCTGATCAGTCAAGGGCATGATCTGAATCCTGATCACTGAGGGAGAAAGCAACTGACAGAGAAACCAAATGATTAATGTAAGATGACCTTAAAAAAAGCTTTCTATAATTCACAATTGTGTGTACTGGGAGGTCCAATAGAATCTTAGGTGTGGAGGAATCAGTTAGGATGAGTGATCTAAAAAGACATTAAAGAAAAATAAAAGATAGGAGGAAAACAAAGTGTAAAAATTCTATGGCACTTTATTGATTTTTAATTATAAAATATTTTTTTAAATAAAGAAGTACCCTACATTTTTCTGATATATTGAGATATTAAGGAGTAAAACACCTGAATAGTTTAGGGCAGTATTGATGATATTTTAGATCTATACTTTACTCCACTTTTTTATTCACCAATTATTTATTAAGTGCCTACTAAGTGCTAGCTATGTACCTGTAAGGTTAAAGCAATGCTTAGATTAATTGTGAAATTAATATCTATAGGTAAATATTGACTAATTATTGAGACCATCTATTAGGTGTGACAAATGAAACACTAGAATGATAGTTGACATGGAATTTTCCTCCAGAAAAAAATTAATAATAAAGAGATCATAGATAAAATGGATTCTAAAAACAATTTTGGCAAAATACATTTTTTCTGGGAAATAAACATAGTTATAGTAGAAATCATATATGTGAATCTAATAATATTTTTATATAAAAACTAAATAAAAATTAGCATTTTCATAATCATAGTTGACACAAACAAAGAATTCTCTCACCAACAACAATAAAGAATGATTCCAAATTGAAACTCTTAGGCCAAAAAGAACATAGAATCTTTTCTTATGATTTTTTGCAAAATTATTTTGATGAGATCTTGTTATTTTATAACTTTAATTAGATTGTAATACAGGGTTTGGCAAGAGCATGTTTACAGTGTGAGTATGTGAAACACAGACTTTATTCTTGTATTATTATTTACTAGAGGCCCAATGCACAAAATGTGTGCATGGCTAGGGTCCCTAGGCCTAGCCAGCAATCAGGGCCAGCCAGGGCCTTCCTTCCCCAGCTGCTAGCTACCAGTTACCAGCTGCCAGTCAGGACCTTCCTCCATTCCACACCACCCCCTGGTGGTCAGTGCATGTTATAGTGAGCAATGGAACTCCTGATCTCCTGGTCAAACTCCTGAAGGGACACTTTGCATATTAGCCTTTTATATAGAGAGATTATTGTTTTGTTTTTTCCATACAAACAACTATAAACCTATTTTGCTCCACCTTGTATTAAACTAAATAAAATCAATATTTGATGACAAATAAGATTGAATATATGTGTATCAACTGCTACATTTATACCTAGCCAGAACATACACATAATAGCTCCTCAATAAGTATGTGATGAATGAATAAGTCAAGGTCAATATCTAAGACAAATGACCAAATGTTCCTTCTCTATTAAATATTAATTCAATTATTGAAAACATAAGAAAGACAATCAGGAATCACTACTTAATGAAGTGTGAAATAAGCCATTGCTTTTTGAAGTCTTTATTTCCCATTTTCTTGTTTATGAAAATTAAGTGCTTGTCAACTGTTGTTTGTATTCTGTTTCTTTAAAGAGAAAATTTTGAACAAAAGGGGGAGAAATGAAAAAGCTAAGACAAGAGGGAAGAAAGATATAAAAATGAATTTGCCCATTCTCTTACAATACATTGTTGCCCCAGGCCACATAGTAGTAGAGGGGATGGCATCTTAAGTCAAAGACTCAAGCTGGAAATTGGTTTAAGTGCTTTATTTTCTTATTAGTCTCTCAGGAGCCTTCATGAAGCCACTTGATGCCTAAATGTTTCATGCATCTCAAAGGGTTTATAATACAAAAATAATTTACAAAGAAGTGATTTTTGAATTTAGATGCTAAACAAATGCAAGGTGTTCCATGGTCAGTTAACAGGGAAGTGAAAAACTTTGAGGAAGCTTTATTTTATGCTTTTCTTTGGTTCAGTAATTTTATTTTTGCCTCAGTAAACTTAAGAATCAGTGATCCTACTAATAATTGTGTCCAGTTCTTAACAATTCTGAGTGCTAAGGGAGATATTTTCAATTTTTTATTTTGTAATTTTCCCTCTATAAAATTTTGTTATATTTATTTCTGACAGTACTTCCTGTTAACTAATCTACCCCTTCTCTTTCTAAGACCCTGGGAAAGCCCCTGAAACCAAACAAGGGACTATAAAAGTTGCAGCACAAGGTAAGCAATAAAGCACTTTAAAGTAAAGTGCTTTTTTTTTTTTTCCACTCACATACCATTTTATTGACAGAAGCAAAACCTGTTTATTGCCAAACAGCACCATCTGCTGGGTTCTTATAGAAAACATTGCATTGTTACATGAAGGCACACTCTTCAAGTATTTATTTAGTAACTGGAGAAAGCATGACTAAGACAAACGCCAAATTTGCAGAGGAACCACTGAAGGGCCCAGGAATTGATATCTTGGCTCCAAGTTTCAGTCATTGAGCTTTTACTTATATTTTCAAAAATGAACCATAGGTAGATGATAGATAGATAGATAGATAGATAGATAGATAGATAGATAGATAGATGGATGATAGATAGATAGATGATATATAGAGATTTATAAATGATATACAGTGTCCAGTGTTTTCAAATATACTTTCTAATTTGTGTCATATTAGAAAAATCTGTCAGAATTTTTTTTTAAAATTAATATTACTTCATCTATATTCCAAGACTGCAAAATCAGATTCTAGATATGATTACAAAAAATCATCCTAGTTTTTATGAGCCACCTGAGAAAATCCATTTACAAGTATATTTGAGGTATAAGAGTGGTGTTTTTAAAGAGACCTTCAGGAAAATATTGATTCTTCAATTCAGCAGTTTTGTTTGGGAAAAGTACTTCTTTAAAATAATTTTGTTATATTTTTTAGCTATCATCTACAGTCACATTCTTTGAAAAAGCTATTCTAACTCCAGGGTCCCAACTCAAGAGAATGGAATACAATGAATTGCTCAAACCAAGAATAGTAATATTATGCAAGTACAAGGATGGGTACAAATGTCAACCTTTGTCATCTTTGAAAACTACAGAACACACCTAGGGAAAATAGGGAAAATGTTTACTGGAGAAAAATCTTTATTTTTCTCTCCTTTGCTGCATTACACAATGTCGAACATTTAAGGAAATACATTTAGGTGATGGCACATTCGTTTCTGGGCAGAAGACCCTCGTAACAGACTGCTGACCAGATGACGTGATTGCGTCTGGCCAAAATTTTACTGTTATGTTTAATCCTGGGCCCAACTATATACAAAACCACCCCAGTAAATATTGGCAAAATGAGCTGGCTAATTGCCACTTGATACAACATGTTTTTATAAGCAATCTATAATAATAAAATCATGATATGCTAATTAGACCAGACATCATTCTGGATGAAGCTAGGGCTGAGAGGAAAGCCCTGGTCCTGGGTGCCAAAGTGAAGCTGATGCTGGCAGGCATGAGAAGGAAGGCTTACTCTTGCACAAATTTGTTCATTGGGCCTCTAGTATGTGATAAAAAGGTTGAGAGCAAAGGTGTCGGATTTGTGTCCTTTTGGTGATCAGGTTGTTCAAGAATCAGGTTGTCCTGATTCTTCTTTACAGGAGTTCTGATAGAGAGTGTAGCAAATGTTATGAAAGGTAGAAAGGCAGGGCAAATATTATCACTGTTGTGTTTTATATTCATGAAAATGCAGCTCAGAGTGCATTCCTCAAGCAAGTGACCACTAGTTCAAGGGAGCATTGCAGTTAAGGTGTATAGTTCTTATAAAAAGCACAACCACCTGTCTGCACTGAGGCTTCCGAGGGTCACAGTGGAAATGGAACTATAGCTTGAGGCAGGAAGTTAGTGTTATTTCAGTCTCATCATAGAGGAGCTCAAGGGGGAGAAATTGAAGAGATAATCTGGAAACTGATTTCAGATTTGAGTTTGGACCCTAGGCTCTTCACTTTTATATTTCAACTACATCGGGGACAAGGCAGGATCAACTTATTTTTTTCAGAATAAATAATTTATTATCGAATGAATAGTAACTTAGAGTTTCAAAAGCTTATTACATTAGTCCCTTTTAAGAAAATTAGATGAAAGTGTTGATTAAGCACAGTGTAGAGGCAAGGGGTAGGGTTAAACACCTACTTATTAATTTGACTTGACTTCTTACCTATGTGACAATATATTTTATATTAATTTTTGCTTTATGTTTTTGTCTCAATTAAAAAAAACCACCACCATATAACATAAAATGTTAAGGTTATTTTCTTATTTCAGATCTGTATGGGTTAAATCCATTGAATTTATGAATATGTGGAATACATTCTCTTATTCCCAGGAATATTCTGAGGAATGGTCATTTAATATGTTTAACATTATTTTCTTTCTATTATTTCAGCAGCAGCTAAAAAGGATGAAAAGAAGGAAGGTATGTTTTATGAAAAGTTCCACTCTGCCTTTTGTGTGAACAGTTTAACAGTTTAGGCTCTGGGGTGAGCTAGTATAAAGATACTATAAGGAGGATGTTGGTGAGGTAGGGGGTAGGTGGCCAATGTGATTCAACAGCCTGTGTCTGCTGATGGTTGCTTATTGAAGTTAAGTTTCTTACCCTCCCACAGAGATGGGGATAGAGGAGCACTAACTCCTTTGATTATTACATTTCAAGGGGATGTGTCATAGGTCTTGAGCAAGATATTTCTGGTTGTAGAAGATTTATATTTCAAAGGGACGGAGAAAGAATTTATAATGCAAGCTTTCTAAAGTAAATGCGCTAACAAAAGGGAGGTCTGGGGCCTATAGTCAAGAAGAAGCCCATTTTAGTTTAGTCAAGCTAATGGAAATGTTAAGGTCATCTCAGCCACTGGGATTCTATTTAGAGAGATGTTTCTAATGCACCCCGACAGCACTTAGACAAGGTCTCTGGTTATCACCACTGTTTATAAATCTAAGCTTATTTTCTCAGTAAAAATAACCTGTAGATATAAGCAATCATTTTTAACTTTGAAAATGACAACTATATTCTAGCTAGAGGCCCAGGGCACAAAAATTTGTGCACTTGGGGGAGGGGAGTGTCCCTCAGCCTGCATCCTCTTGTAGTCTGGGAACCCTGGGGGAATGTCTACATGCCCACTTACGCCTGCTCCCCAGGGGATCGGGCCCAAGTTGGCAGTCAGACATCCCTTTGGAGCCCAGGAGCCCTTGGGGGATATCTAACTGTGACTTAGGCCCACTCCCCATCAGTTAGACATCCTTAGCCATCAGCCCAGCTTGTGGCTAAACGATGCTACCCCTATGGGAGTGCACTGACCACCAGGGGGAAGCTCCTTCCTTGAGCATCTGCCCCCTGGTGGTCAGTGCATATCATAACAACCAGTTGTTCCACCCTTAGGGTAAATTTGCATATTACCCTTTTATTATACAGAATTAGTGTTTAGATAATCTGAGAAAAATAAGAAAGCAAGTATTATATTTATATTTAGTGACATTAGAGTTTTATAAAATCATAATGGCTTAGGAGTCACATTCTATTTCTGTTAAACATGGATCTAAGAGTCAATAGTCATGGGAGGGAGAAAATATTTTAGTTGATCATCATTTGTTTAAAGAGAACAAAACCATCTAGAAAATATTTTAGTTGATCATCATTTGTTTAAAGAGAACAAAACCTAATAAAAGGGTAATATGCTAATTAGACTGGGAGACTTCCAGGAGACCTTCCGGATGTCTTTCTGGACAAAGCCATGGTTGCAGGGCCAAGGCAGAGGCTGTTAGGGACATTCAGGCCAAGAGGGGAGGGCAGTTGGGAGTGATCAGGCCAGCAGTGGCGGAAGGGGGGGATGTTGGGATTGCCACAGGCAGTGGGGAAGGACAGTTGGGGTGAGCAGGCTGGCAGGTGGGGTGTTTATGGGTGATCAGGCCACAAGGGAGTCACAGTTGGGGGTGGTCAGGCTATCAGGCAGAGTGGTTAGGGGAGATCAAGCAGGCAGGCAGGTGAGTGGTTAGGAGCTAGCAGTCCTGGATTGCAAGAGGGATGTTCACTGACAGTTTAGGCCCGATCCCCCAAGGGTCCCAGATTGGAGAGGGTGCAGACTGTGCTGAGGGGCACAACCCCCATGCACGAATTTCATGCATTGGGCCGCTAGTTTATAATAATAAAAGCCAATATGCTAATTAGACTGGACATTCTTCCAGAGGACCTTCTAGATGAAGCGGGGCCTGTGAGAGAACACCGGGTCCTGCGTGCCAGAGGGAAGCCGGTGCCAGCAGCCGGGGGACCAAAAGCCTACTCTTGCACAAATTTTGTGCATTGGGCCTCTAGTGATATCATAATAAGGTTAACTAAGACACAGTAAGGTGTTTGTTATCCAGAGATTGAAATCAGTATTAATTCCCCCATAAACACATAGCAAATATTTCAGTGTATTTTGGAAATGATATAATTTATATGATGACTTGTGGTGAGTGTTCAGAGACATTACAAGGAAAAAGAAGCAGTAAGTTCCTGCCACAGTTTTGGACACACAGTAAATCCTCAAATATGTTCATCTTTCATCCATCACTTTTTATTAGGAATAAAAAAGAATTTACCTTTTTATTTAACTAAAAGAGTAATATTAATAGTTAGTTTGTTATTCATTGGCATTCAAACATGTATTTAAAAATTTTGGGGCATATAAAACCATAGTCAAAGTACAATTGCATAGTTTTAATCTTTTTATATATATTTCTCAATGTTATGCTCAATGTTTCTTGTTATATTTTTTCTGGATTATATACATTTTTTTATTTTTTAGAAATTGTCCATGTGCAATATGCAATATTTGGAAGAGTTTGGGAATATTTGCCTGTAGAGATTCATGTAATCCAGTAAAACATATAAAACATATATCCTTGAATATGTATTAATATTATCATTTAAGAAATGATTATATTTGAGAAAAAAATTTCTATCTATAATAATTTTTATTGTTCCCAATATATAATAGGAGAATAGGCTTAATGTTCAGCTACTCTAGGCAGTCATTGGATTTTGTTTCGTGTGCAGAGAGGAAAGCTATATAGACATCAGCTTCTCGGTTCCTATTTCTTTCTATCATCTCAGTAAAGATCACAGATATATTTCCCACAGGGACAGGGAACATATGTCTGTTCAAATGAGGCACATTTATAACAAATACGAGATACAATTTGGATTTTCAACATTACACAAAGCTTATTTTACACAAAGTTTATTTCTAGTCACATTCAGACTTTTTGGACATTCTTCAAAGATACTAATTACTGACAACTTTCCTGGAGAAAGAGAAAACGAGAAGGATTTTAGGAATTGATTTAGAATGCTCTTGAGAAGTTCTTTTGCTGGTGAATTTTAAAATACAGAAACAAACGTGCATAGCAACTTTCTTAATATCAAAGGCAGTCTCTGCATTGGGCCGCAAAGGGTTTCTTGCATTAGTGAACTCTGAAAAATTTGAGTTTCATGTGCAGATTTTACCCCAAGCCTGGCTCATTGCAGAAACCTTGGCTCCATGAGCTTTTCCCATCCATGTTCCTGTTTTTGGGAATTTGGGCCTCAGAAAAACCATATCTTAGCCTGAGTGGAATGGCATTATTGAATAAATGTTCAACTGAGGTCCTGCTTTGACAAGCCTGTCTCTACCGAGGTTTCCCCTGGATACCACCCCTTCTCCCCATTCAGACACTTCCCTCATCATCAATTAGCAAACCTTCTGCCTTACTCTCTGTTAGGCTCTCGACGTCGGCCCCAATAAAATTGTGTTTTTCTCTCTAAAATGTGCTTATTCTCTATCACCTCTTATGTAATGGTCCTGCTGTCTTTATAGACGCCGAGACTCAAATTCTGGCGTAAGAGTTAACCTCTGTTTTACCTTTGCCTCTGACAATTAGTCCTCAGAATTTTTAAATGGCCTGAACTCTCCTATGTTTAATCCTTCCTAAAATAATTAGGAAAGCTAATCTTTACTCACAACCTCCAGCCCTCTAACGGTGACCTCTCACTGATATTAGACTTCTCATGTGAACCAAGGAAATGATGCCTGAAATTAGAGGTTCTCAATGTGTGGTCAAGGACTTCGGAGGGTCACTGAGACCCTCTCAGTGTATCTGCAAAGTTAAAACTATTTTTATGAAAATCATGAAGTCATCATTTCCCTTTTACATTTCATCCTCCCATGAGTGTGCACTGGAGTGTGCCAGAGATTACATAATGTGTGATATTGCAAGAGATTCAATATAAAAGCAGTTATGTAAATCCAACTGACTTCTCAGCAAGCCACATATTAATGAGAGTTGCAAAATTATGAAGCAAAGTCACTCATCTCATTATTTTTTTACAGAAGATAGTCTAAAGGCTTTAACCTACAATTAAACTCCCAATTAAACTCCCTACAGTCTGCCTCTTGACCTCCTGTCATGCACACATCTAGGCAAAGGCAAAGCCAAGGCCTAAATAGTTCTACCTGTGAAGATACAGTGAGCCCTTCTGAGACTGAGAAGATCATGGTCAGCCAAAGCAAGAGTAGTCAAAGTGCCAGATATTCATGGTCCTTGTTCCACACACCAAACGGGATGATACCTAAAGAAAAGAGGCTACATAATGCAACACAAACCAGGAACCCTTCACTGCAGAGGAGGCAATTCCATATTACTGCCAAATGGTTTTAAGGTCTGCTGCTCTGTTACAAACAGATCTAGAAAGGAGAACCCATGAGGTGATGAGAAGAAAACTCTCATGCCAGTCTCCCAGGAGAGATAGGGAGACATGTGGGAGATGGCCTCACAGCAGCTCCTCATAGCATCCTCCCTTAATTCTGATTGACTTTAAGGCTTTTGAGTAAAGGGACCATGTTTAATTCACTTTTATCCCCTACAGAGACTAAAACATTTCCTCACTTCACACGTCACTCAACAAAGATTCATTCTGTGAGTGAAGCAATAATGTAGGACTCAAGATAAATATAATAGCCAAAAGAATTATGAGTAGGCACTTAATTTTCATATCCAGGCAAAGAAAATTCCTTTTTATTATTGGGAGTTATTGTCCAGTGAGCATTTCAGGGCTGGAAAATTATAGTCAATTGTTGGCAATTTCATCTCTGATGTATTTGATCACTAGCTTTTATTTGGGTTGCACTAGCAGATCTCAGTAGATCTCATCCAGTGAACTTCAGCTTCTTGATGAATTCCCACACAGGTTATCTTCTTAAAAGATACAGCTCCACTGAGAACTAGCCAGATTAGATTTATTGTTTCCCATAACCGAAACAAGAGGAAGTAGAGTAAAATGCAAAAATTCATGTGAGAATTAGTCTCAAGTTACAGGGTTTCAGAACTGGAGGAATCATGCTGAAAAACAATGCAAAATATCTGGTTTTGGAATTGGACACATATGTCAGTTGGGTAAGTTTCACAGAGTAGACGGGAACTACATTACCAACATTATTAGACTACCCTTCAATGTCAGTTGGTATTTCACTTCCTTCTGGCATCACTTATCAAACATAATAGACCATACCTGGTACATTACTAAAGTTGAGTAAGTGATGAATTGGACAGATTGCAAACACATCACTACTTTTGAATAACAGCTGCTGCAGGCCTCGATGTTCTTAATAAAAGGCTTATTCAGATTGTTGGGCAGATGGTTTTTAAGGAAGTGTAGTCACCAAGTAAGCCTTTATGATATTTTTTAGCTGTTTTGGCAGAGTGCTGAGAGGGCATAATGAAGTTTAATAGCTTGAGTATTAAAGGCTAGTACTTATAGCTCTTCAAAGTCAGAATGTGATCTTTCAATTGCAAGCATTATATTTTTTTTTGGTTGCTTGAGTATTTTACTTGTGTAAGTCTGCTGCTCTGTTGTCTCCAAAAGATGATTTTTTAATGGCATCACTTTAAGTTAATTTAACTGTTCTTACATGCAAATATAGCAAACTTTTTAAAGATCTAGTTCGATAGATCATGGCTTGTTATTTTTTACATTTCAACTTTATGAAATATTTTTTTATCTCAATAAGTGTTATACTCTATCTGACCCTGAACTGCATATTTTTTCTTTCATTTTAGTACAATTGCTATTTAGTACAATATATTATCAATTCTTATTAGTAGGAAGTAAACAAATTTAAAACAACAAATATTTACAGATGTGCATATTGTAGTTAGCTTTCCACACCTATCTCATGCCAGCATCTATTTGGAGAATGGGGCTTTTGGAAATAACCTGTCCTAATCTGCCACATTTATTCTCTGTTTCAACATTCTTCCCAAGCTTTATTCTATTGTGTTCCTAAATAATGATGGGTTCCTCATGATCTGCTTGTGTTTTCCATGTTGGCAGCATTCAGGGCTCAAAAGATACTCAGTGAGGATCACATGACCTCTTGGGCAAGCAGAAATCCTGCTCCATTATACAGGGGCCAAACACATTGAAAAGTTATGATGGCCATTGAACTATCATCCACTTCAGACTTGCAGCTGCTGTGCTATAGAAATCCATGTCTTTAAACAGAAGTAGGCACTATATATTGTTAATATATAGTTAGGTATATGACAAAGATGATATTCATCATGTTCTTATATAAAATTATCTAATATGATATTTTTCTATATGTTTAAAGTACCCACTTGATCAGAATAATTATTCATGAAGGAAAAGAATGGGAAAGTGCTTGCAAAGCACTTGTGTTTTAGACAGCACATTTAGCCTAATCCCGTGGTCAGCAAACTTTATTTTTTTATATTTTATACTTTAAAAAGTTTCTCACTTCCTATCTCATTCTCAGACTCAACCTCTTCAAATATTTCTCTTTAAGCCCTAAGTTCTAAAAATATATCATGTAACCAATCTATTTTGTTGAAAATGATTTCAAGGTGAATGAACATTTTGTTGTGAGCTAATCAGTTGTTGATTGAACTTATCTGCTTTATCAATAATTTATCTTTGTGTTTTCAGATTCCAAGAAAACAAAAACATCTGCACAAGGTATTGGAAATGTTTTCTGATTCTGTCTTATATTTGATAAACTCCCAAAAAGCCTTATTCTTTAAAAGATTAATGTAGAATTTTATGTAACCTATACATAAGGGAAAGAGGAGAGAGGAAAAATATTGAGTTGAAAAAAAAGAAAGAAGAAGAAAAAAAGAGTTGAGTCTTTTCTGATAATACTGCTCTGAGAAATATTTGGCAGTAATAAAAAAAATAAAATTGTATATGTTTACCTTTTACAGTAATTGTTTTCAAAGATATATTTGCTTGACAAAAAAAATTTGAACAATGCTTAGTACCAAGCTTTTATTTCACTGGAAAGTACAAATTCAATTAATCTTTGATACACCAGCATTAAATAGGAAACTAAATAGTTGTTTTGTGTTGAACAGAATCATAACTCATAGCAAGTACACCAGTTTCTTCTGTATTTATTCATATGTGTTTTTGTGTTCACATGTATTTATGAATACTGCAAGGTATAAATTATTTAAAGTGGTTAGATATTTGATCCTAGCTTAATTCATTGTCGAAGAGTATATTACAAATTAAGTAAAAACCTATAATAAGCAGCAATACCTCAGAGCAGCACTCATTGTGAAATTTAAGGGAAGAGGATGAGGGAGGAGATGATAACATTATAGTCTAGTCATTGTGTCTGAGAAGTGAACCTTATCTTTAAAGTTTTTAAGAGCAATGGTTTTCTTTCAACAGAACAACCCAAGGGAAAAAGTAAGGAAATGCATGAAAATACATTTGGTTGTTTTTCTCTGAACTACTATAACTACCTGCTGACACATGTAGAGTTGCCATTTTCAGTTTCCCCTTTCTACATTTTATCCATGTGAATTATTTTTTTAATATATTTTTATTGACTTTCCACAGAGAGGAAGGAAGAGGGATAGAGAGCTAGAAATGTCAATGAGAGAGAAACATTGACCAGCTGCCTCCTGCACATCCCCTGCAGGGGATGCACCCGCAACCAAGGTACATGCCCTTGACTGGAATCGAACCTGGGACCTTTCAGTCCACTGACTGACGCTCTACCACTGAGCCAAACCGGTTTCGGCTATTGTTGTTTGTTTGTTTGTTTGTTTATTTTAATTGATTTTACACAGAGAGTAATTGAGAGGGACAGAGAGTTAGAAACATCGATGAGAGAGAATCATCAATCAGCTGCCTCCTGCACACCCCCGACTGGGGATATGCCCACAACCAAGGTACATGCCCATGACTGGAATCAAACCCGGGGCCTTTCAGTCCGCAGGCTGACGCTCTATCCACTGAGCCAAACCGGTCCTGGCTATTTGTTGTTTTTTTATCAAGATGAAAAAATACACAACCTGGAATTGGGGAGGGACAGTGTGAATGGCAAGGCATGCTATATTCATAGAGTCCCTTTTTAAACTCATGAAATCATCTAATAATGTTATCCATAGCCTCTAACCTACACTACAACTGCATCCATTAACCATAACTGTGGGTGTAATTTAGTCCCTATAATCTGGTTAGTTCTGACCTTAGCAAAGACTGAATAGAAAATTCTTTTACAGACTAGTTTTACAACTTCTCTTCTATTTATTTCTTCTCGTAATCCAAAATACCTTGGCATGTTTTCATGATTTATAACACTTTGTCCATAACATGAATTTTCCTCCAAGTGCTATTCTGGGCTCTGTGGAATGCCATTGCTTGGGATCCATATCTTAGGCAGCACTTGTAGTTGCCTTAACACACAGTACTAAAGCTATTTGCTAACAATTCAGTAAAGCCTTGAGGCCATGTCCTTTGCAAACATACACTCTCCTCTAACAGGACATAATTAAGAAATAGAAATAACCTAGCCTTGACCATATTGAATTAGCATTAGAAATCATCACATTCCTAGGTTTATAAAGATTTTAAAGACCCCAATAATATGAAAGGCATGTTTTAAAATGTACACCAATTTTTTTTTTAATATATATGCATGACTTGGTTCTGCAAAAGGTCAGGACGCTGAGAAAGTCTCTGTCATAAAAATGCTCGCAAATATCCTGTGGAGAAAACCATGAAATTATACTATGGCTCAGCCAGGGGGAGCAATCTCTCTGTAAAGAAGGTTGTGATTTATGTGTGTGCAAAGCGGCTGAGGAGCGCTGGCACAGAAATACAGAAACCCCTCTATAAACCATTGCACCAACAGGAAATGAGATATAACTGGGGATTTAAAAAATGGTATTAAATTATGCATATTTATATATTTTTATATATATGGTTATATATACATATATATATATACATATTCTTAAAGTCCTCATTTCTTCGCAGTCTATATGATTTAAAACTTCCTGCAGATTTGCTGAGGATCCTTGGCCATCTCCATTCAGGGCATTGATGTAAATAAATAGAGAAGCCTTCTTAGAAGTTCATTTACATCTCAACTGCTTTCCTCTTTGGAAGAACTATGGATTTTGAATTGGACAGTAATAAGGAAAAGAAAAAGATCTTTTCTCTAAACAACTCTTAATTCTTTTCAAATTAACATATTTGTTCTGGTTTATCATCAAAACATATCTTTATTATTGTTATTGTTACATTTTTAAATTTGTTTGATTTAGGGTGTTGTCTTTAAGATTAATCAATTATACATCTCCAATCCTATATTCTTATTTTGTTCCTACTTTTCCAGTTAACACAGCTTAAGAGGCTGTATTTTGTCTTAGTTTAAAAATAAATCGTCATGGTAGGGGACACAAAGTGAAGAACACATGAGAACCTCCTGTACATATTTTTGTAAATTCCTGTGACTTAGAATTTTTTCAAAAAAAAACAAAAGAAGAAAGAAAAGAACTCAAAAATATTTTCATGCTGTTCTGTGACAGAACTCTGTTAAGGGAAATAGAAGGAAATACTTGTTCTGAATATATAATATTAGTTTTTTACAGAAGTTATTGCTTGCCACAGTCCTGCATAGCACATATACGTTTCTTTGTGTTAAAACAATTAAGTTTGGACACACAAAATTGTAACAATAATAATAATAATAATAATAATAATAATAATATGTTTCAGAACAGGAAAAGAAAGAAAAACATACCGAACCAGGTAACTGTTTTCAATTGCCTCTATCTTTCTAATTTCAAGATATTATTTCATTTGCAGTTAAATACTGATTTGTGATCTAATAACATGAAATGTTGACTTTTTTTCTTGTCTTGTTTGATATAGCAAAGCCACCAAAGAAGGAACATTCAGGTGAGTCAGGCCAGAGTTGTTGGGTTCTTTCTACCAGATGCCCAGTGTTTATTAATGCTGCAGCTCAGACGGGTGGGGAGGGCCATGACAGGAGAGGGCAGGAAATTCTTCCATCTCACTTCCCACCACCCCGACTTCTTCACATAGAGTTAACACTACCAAAGGTTTTAGACAATGAAAAGCAAATATTCCATGACACTCTTGCTACTCAATGTATGCTGTGAACCAGCAGCATCAGAACCACAAGCAAAGCAGAATCCTGGTCCCCCTCCAGGCTACTCAATTAGAATCTGCGACCTCCTAAGATCCCCAGTGTCTGAGAAGCACTGTTTACAGTATAATATTAAAAAAAATTTTTTTGAAAATAAAATAAGATCAAATGCTGTTTGTAATTGTGTCTGGTAATGCTTTGCTTTTAAAATATGAAATATTCAATGCAACTGGTGTAGCTCAGGGGTTGAGCATCAACCTATGAACCAGGAGGTCTCAGTTCAATTCTCAAGCCAGGGTTGCAGGCTCGATCCCCAGTATAGGGCGTGCAGGAGGCAGCCAATCAATGACTCTCTCTCATCATTGATGTTTCTATCTCTCTCTTATCCTCTCCCTTACTTTATGAAGTAAATAAAATATTTTTTAAAATATATGAAATATTTCATGTAAGCATATATTCTCTCCCTATTCCAAATGTTAGTTAATGGCATTGCTTAAGTACTCTGGCATTTCAATGAGAGGAGAGTAGATTTTTCCCTGAATGTATTTATAGTCTAATAGTAGAAAATTGAATTGTGAATCAGACAACCAAAAAAATAAACATAAAAACAAACAAAAACTAAAAATGCAATTAGTATAGATATCAAATGGTTTTCTAAAAAGTTTTAGCATTGAATTTGCCCTACTAGTGGTTTCAATGAAAATATATGCAAATTTCTGAAAAATTTTATTGACCTCATTTTAAAACATAACCTGTTGATTTTGCCTGGCAAACTTCTACTCAAGGAACTTCACTGATTTTTCTTGAGTCTACTAGTCACTCCTGCTATTTTATTGCATTTCAATTAAAATAGCATTCACTTAATATTATGTAAATAACCATGCAAATATAGTTTAGTTATATTCTTACCTGTTTCATAGACTACAAGCTGCCACAGGTTTGAAATCATATTTCTTAATCTTCTTGAACTTCATAATATTCCTCAGACAACCCAAATCCATTTATGTGTCTCTCCAACTAATTCTCATAGTATCGTTTTCTTTCTTTTGTAAAAACACTTAATATACTTATATAATCATGTTACCTTTTATTTTTTTTTTCACTTTAACTATAATTTAAAGGTTAAGGATTGCCTTTTTATATTCGATATCTCAATTCCCAGAGTACTCATTCTGAAGTCAGCATATAGTGGACACTTGATAATGGTTGATTGAATGGAAAGGGAAATATCAAGTAGGAAAAGTACATTTATTTAAAGCATTTAAATATGAGTGACTTTCAAATAATTTACCATATGAAATAATTACACATTTAACCACTTCATATAAACATTGGTATTACTTATTCTTTCAAAGGGAATATTTTTGTTTATCTCACAGAAAACAGACTATTTGTTTAAGGGTAACATTTCCACAAGTGGGCCATAACACATATTCTCACTTATTCACCCATACGCATAAAGCTAAAACAAAGCACCAACACAGAAGCATAGAGAAGCAATAGAATGACTATGATTATAATCAGTTTTAAGAATTTTAATAGCTAAACATTATTGTCTCATACTGAACTTGACAAAATACAATTATTTAAATTCTTTAAAATCATTACCTGCTCAGTCTAGGCGTTCACGATAATGTAGAAGCTTAACAATAATTAGCTTTATTTTAAAATTTTAAACCATTGGATAATTTATCAATTCAATTCATTTTTTATACCGTTTTATAGACTTCAAGAAAAATGCACTGGCTTGTCTATGAAAACAATAAGATTCTTAGATATTTTAGAATGGAAAACAGAATGAATAAGTTATGAATGAGCATTCTATGTTGGGAGAAGGAATTAAATTTGAAAAAAGAATTATGGTCTGTGGCATATATTTAAATAAAGTACATCAAAGAAATGACACAATATTGCATTTTCTCCTCAAACCTCTTTTCATTAGCTTCAATTTAAAAAATGAAAATAACCTTAAAAATATGTTAAAGACAGATAGTTGTGTAATTAATGTAGAAATTATTTCTTGTCTTTATCAGCTCCAACTGAAAAAGAAGTAAAAGCAAGTATGTTGAATAAAACATTAAAAAATAAGCTTATTTTAGCAGCTTACTCATTTAAGTTTTCTGTCATAAGATAATGCTAATGCTGATTTTTAAAGCTGGCTTACCAAATATTTCTTGCTATGTCCATTTAATTTGTTGAAATAACATGCATAAACAGTTAACTTTATATTTTCCATAAATTCATTCTTATTAAAATGTCTCTTAGATTTTCATTTGTAAATGTTAATTTGTCCAGATCAGTGTTTCCCAAACTTTTGACATATGTGTACCCCTTCTATAATTTTCGTAATGCTGAGTATGTGATGCACGGTGCAGTGCATATCCCCACCAAACTCCGGTGCAACGCGTACCCCCACCAAACGCGTACCACACTTTGGGAAACACTGGTCCAGATCATAATCCCTTTTTGTATTTTTGTTTCCCCTTTCTGCAGAATGTTAATTGATCTCTTCAGCCTCTTGAACACATCAGACTTAATATTTCTAACAATTAATTACTTAATCAAACCAGTAGGCAATGTAATTTGTCTACCAGTGAAGTCATTTTGTCTTTAATAAAATGAAGCCCTCCAAATTTTATTAATTACTACTGTTGTAATATCATAGTTTTCCTTTTAATGTCTGTATCCTCACATTGTAAATATTGACTGAAAACTATAACATACTATGGCATCTGCTTCAATAGTAGCAAATAGTTTTGGGAGAAATGCTAATTATTTTGTCAGTATTTCTTAATTCAATACCGTAACTAACAGACTGTTATTAATAAAAATAATTTTGGCATAATTGCATATTAGCATAAACAATGGAAGCAAGACACTGATGTGGGGGGAGGGCATGAATGGGAGAGGGGTGGGGGCAATGGGGAGATATGGACACATAATGTAATGCCTTAATCAGTAAAAAAATTGGAATATAATAATTTTAGAAAAAATATACTTTTAGATTCTCTAAGCTTTTTGTATAAGAATTTATAGTTAAACCTGGATTGTATCATAATGTGTTTATATATTTTTGTTTTCAGTAGCTCCATCAGTACTAAAAATAGTACTAAATAGTACTAAAAATAGTACTGATACATAAAACAAATTCATTTTTTAATTTAGTGCTGGGTTTTTGAGATACTATATGATTTATGAATCTATTTTAAAAATTACACATAGAAGTGTTCATATAGTCATAATAAACTTTAAAAGAGAAGGTTTATATGAACTTTAAGTTCTATTTATATTTCATGAAAAATTTTAGTTAATATAAATCTGATTGGAACTTTATATTATGAAGTCTTTAGGATGTTAATATTTGGTCTATAGAAATGCATTACCAGAAATATATATAAAATAGAACTGATAACTTTGCGATTTTAGTAGAAAACTTTAGATTGATTACTCTGAAATGAACATTTTCTTCATAAAAATCATAACATGTAGATAAAAATATTCATTTGCAATAAAAAAACATTATAAGTTAAGTTCTGCTATCTATGAAGCACACTATCAGATCAAGTTTTGAAGATATCAGCATCATTTCCACAAAATTAAATTACCAAATCATCTTCAACCCAATATAAAAGTTGCAAAATAATTCATATTTAACTCCTTATATTGTTGAGAGATTTGGTCTTTACATGGGTATTATCACTCAAGATAAAAATTAATTAGGGATAATTTATAATTTTTTCATTATTTACTAACAATGTAACCAGCCATTTCCTCTCTGGGAAAAACATTTGTTTGGCCTTAAAACCATATTATGGAATTTTTATTTTTACATGCTGCTATATACAATAGGTTGTGTGTAAAGTTAATGACTAAGGTAAAAATTGCATATCATTACAAATACTTTTAAAGTTTCTTAAATCACCTATGTATTATGGTGTACATAGTTTTGTGTATACAACTTTAACATTCAAGATATTAATGTCATCATCTTAAATTATGAAAGAAATTGAGAAAGTGCGATACATAGTTTAGTGAACATAAAGTGTGTATGTGATGCATTTCCATGGTATTGAATTTTAAAAGATAGGTAAGATTGACTGGGTTAGAGCAAGTGCATGGAAAGAGTATGAGGTCATATATTATTAGCCCTCACTTCAATGGAATAACTAGAATGGTGATTGAGTTTGTGGTGTGAAATTGTTTAGGCCCTGAGGAAGCCAAAATCAGTGTAGGGAAAATACTGAAGAACACAGACAAGCTTGAGATCTATTATTTTCCTTTGGGTGACAGAAAACTTCAACTTTAATTAGCCTTGATCTGAGGTCCAACATTTTGTACTGGCGCCAGCATTTTAGATTATGTCTAAAAGGCAACTTTCCTATCTTCCACACTAGATATTCAGAGAAGCTCCAAGGAAGTATTTTGGCCTTTTTTATCCTATTTTTTTTCTCTTTCAAAGCAATCAATATTCAAATAAATGTTGTATTATAGTATGGCTAATCTCTCATAATGCAAAGCTAATTGATTGATGTCAAATACTTCTTGATATACCATAATTAAAGGCCACATAAAGAAGGCCTTTCAAGTCCTCTTTCCTATAACTCATATTATTTTAGATGTAATTTAAACTAATAAATTAGTGTTCCAGTGTATTTTGTGGAATAAGCTACCTGCTTTTATGGTCACTGCTTATATAAGCTAAAATTTTGATATAGCATTGTGAAATCCTGGAAGAAAGGGTCTGTATTGCTACTTAAAGAAGTTCACAAGTTTATAAAAATACACGTGCTTCATAGTCTGACTTCCTCTGTTGCCTCTTTGCTCTTGGGTGCCACATACATTTTATCTTTTGGACAGTTTAGCCTTGTCTGATTTACAATACTGTAACTATCCACCTGACATCTCTGAGGTGTATTTCTCATTCTTTAATATCTGAATTTTGCAGAAACTGATCGAGCCAAGGAAGAGGCTGGTGCTGCCTCCACTAAAAAAGGTGAATGCAACTTAAAGAAAAAGGTGTCATGACTAAAACTTATTTCTGCACAGGTTTCTAACTTAATGTTTTATTTAGTGCTTATTAAAGAGCTCTCTATATTGATTTCACTATTTCTTGATGTGGAAACAAACTCACTTTGCACAAGATTTATAGTGTCTATATTAACAAGGTTTTGTCTTCCGTGTTCTGAAGCCAATAGTTTCATTCCTTGGGGCCATCAACTAAAACTAGTAATTGCAGCTCAATTTCAAGTTAATTTCTGAAAAATTGAAGAAATGTAGCCGTTCAAGTTCAGTGGGATCCCAATCACCTGGAGAGAGCATTCAACTATAAAATACTGCCTGAGGTGGTTAGAGCCCCAACAAATGAAAGTTTGACTTACATGAACAACAGACATTTTGGGGAAGAATACTATCAGATTTTAAAATGTGTTCCTTGCAATGCTCACTTGGAAACACTTTGATTTAAGAAAGATATTGGAAAGTTTGCAATTTAAGTTTTCAAATGAATTTCTCTTGTCAGTGTCCCTTCTCATTTCCCATTAGATTGTGGCTTCTGTCCCTACTGTGTCATTAATGCTCTTACTGATGCTGATGGTTATCATTACCAAACCAATAAAACCATTCTAGTGCTCACATGACTAGATTTTTCAGTTACACTTAACATTTTGTTTTTTCTCTCCCTTTTGGGGTATCACACCAACATAGTCTGAGTTCTCCTAATATTCCCTGATATTTTTGTCTGACTTCTTTCTGTTTTGCCCTTTTCTACACCTTAATCATTGATGCTTCCAGATTCCATTATTAATCCTCTGGATTTCTCATTCTACAACCTCTCTTTGTTAAATATGCCCCCTCTCAAGGTTGAGGGAAACTCTGTTACCAATTCTACATTGTCATTTCATGACTTCATGAAAATGCTTTTCCAAGAAAATTTCAGCTTATATGTCCAAATGCCCAATAAATAGCTTTAAATTCAACCTTTTAAAATATATTTTATTGATTTTAGAGAGAGACAGATAAAAACATCAATGATGAGAGAGAATCATCACTTTCCTCATGTCCTTTTCCTCACCCCACTGGACTGAGCCCCCAACCAGAGCATGTGCCCTGATCAGGGATTGAACCATGACCTGGTTTATAGGTCAATGCTCAACCACTGAGCCACATCAACCAGGCAAATACAACCTTTCTTAACCAAATGCCTCATTTTATTTTATTTTTCCATCACCATTAACCCCCTTTATGCCCCGTTCCACTTCCACCCAATCCCCACCCCCTCCCTTAATCTGCTGTCCTTATCCATGAGCTCTCTCTCTTTTCTTTTATTCTCTCTTTCCTTTCCTTTCCTTTCCTTTTTTTCTTTTTTCTTTTCTGTTCAATCCATTCAGTATCTGTCTTCTCACTATCTATGAATCTATCTCTATTTTGTTTGGTAGTTCAGTTACTTCATTCAATTCCACATATGAGTGAAAACATATGGTACTTGTCTTTTCCTTGACTGGCTGATTTCACTTAGCATAATGCTCTCCCATAAGTGAGTGGATAAACTAATTTTCTCTTCTCAATTTGGAATTCATTATCACTGGTGAAACCACAATCCATTCTCCACCTTTGGAAATCTGGGGGTGACTCATTTTCATTTTTCTTTCCTTCACTTAATATTCAAAGAATCTTCAAGTTCTGCTGATTTTATTCCCAAAATATTCCTTGAATATATTTCCTTCTATTCATAACCATTCCTTTAATCTGCATTCAAATATTCATTGTCTTATGTTTAACCATTACAACAATTTCACCACATTCCTCATCTCCTTATTTTTATTTCAGTAATATTCATCTTACCAGAACTCCCAGTACAATAAAAGTAAATTATCAAAGTCTTAAAACAGACTAAATCACTCTTAATTTAAAACACTCCCCCTACCTGGTTTGGCTCATTAGATAGAGCATTGGTGTACGGACTGAAGGGTTCCAGGTTCAATTCCAGTCAAGGGCACATACCCGGGCAGCTTGCTGGCTCAATCCCCAGTAGGGAATGTGCAAGAGGCAGCCAATCAATGATTCTCTCTTCATTGATGCTACATTCTCACTCTCCCTCTCCCTTTCTCTCCTACATCAATAAAAATATTTTTAAAGAGAGAAAAAATATCTAAACAACAAAATCTCTCTTTTCCACAGTTGTTCATAAAATAAAGTTCAAGCTTGTTAAAATGATGTAAGAGTCTCTCAAGATCTGTTGCTTAGATCACTTTTAAACTTCCTCTGATGGAGCAGGACTTGCTTCAGTGGGGCTTTGGTGCTCACTGAGTTTGCTCCTTGAGTGTGTCACTTATGGATGTGAAGAGTTGTAATCTGGTATGGTCTGACACTGACCACTGGGTACACTGGCTCTTGGGGCTCCAGGGAGGTGTAAAGTCAGCCACTGCCTGGGGCCATCCAGCAGGAGCTACAGAGAGATCTGCAGATTCCTCCTCTTTGTATCAGTTTGGAGGTGCCCAGACTAGGTCCGGTTGTGAAGCAAGGCAGGCTGCTGCTGATGTAGGTCTTGGACCTTTTATTGATAGGTTTGGGGCTCCCTGACCCCGTTGAAGCTTGTTTGACAGGATTTTAGCTTGAGCAAGGACAGGCCATTCACATGCAAAAGCCATTGTACACAGCTTGGATGGGGTTATAAATTAGGTGGAGTGGGGTCTCAAGGAATCACCAGGTTGGAAAAAACAGAAATGTCTGCAAGTCAGCCCCTGTGATGGGTAGGTCCCCAGCATGGGAATAATGACCGCTGCTAGCACTTCTGTCTGTAAGAAAGCCATACCCAAGTTTCTGCCTCGATTGCAGACAGTCTAATTTATCCTCGGATTCCCCAGAGCCTCACCCTGGTGCTGGAGCTCAGAGGAAGCAGGAGCTTGTAAATTTAGTTCATGGTACTGGCTTTTTAAAAGGAGCAGCTGGGTCTCCCGCAGCCTGTGTGTCACTGAGTCTTAATCTGCACTGGTTTTTATAGCTGTAGTTCTTACTGCCATAGGGTCTTCTTTTCCCAGCTCTGGAACCCCTGGTGTGGGGCTGGGAACCCTTGCTCCTCCCAGGTGGCCTCTGCAGAGACCATCTTCCTCCTGATTAAAAAAACAGCCATATGGATGCCGGGCCAACCCATTCTGTGCCTCCACACCTCCTACTAGTCTTAGTGTGCTTTCTTCTTTACTTGTCACCATCTCGGTTCTCTCCATTTCTTTTTTGGAAAATTTTTAAAAATAAATTTGAAAAATTTTAATTAAACTGATATTTTGAATCCATAATTATAATTCTGCAAAGAAAATTTTAGCCCAATGGTTTCAGTGGTGGATTCTTTCAAATGTTTAAGGAAATATTAACAATCTACACCAAACTTTCCAGATATAGAAAATAAGAAACATTTACTCATTCAAGCCTTAATATTAAAACCTAACAAACTGAAAAAGAAACAAAATATAAAGACTAACTTATTTTGTGAATATGAAGGCATAGACTTGAGCAGATCAAGTCTGATAATATATGTGCAAGATAAAATGCAAGCAAGTTGGTTTATTTTAGGAATGGAATTTATTTATTTATTATTTTTAAAATATATTTTTATTGATTTCTGAGAGGAAGATAGAGCGAGAAAGAAATATCAATGATGAGAATCATTGATTTGTTGCCTCCTGCATGCCCCACACTGAGGACTGAGCCTCTAACCCAGGCATGTGCCCTGACTGGGAATTGAACCATGATCTGCTGGTTCATAGATGAAGCTCAACCACAGGGCCATGCTGGGCAGGTTTCAGGAATGCAACTTAAAAAAAAAAAAAATCAATGTAATTAACCAGAATAATAAAATCATAGTAGATGCATTTGACACAATTCATCACTAGAGTAGAAAGAAGCTTCCTTAATCTGTTAAGATATATTAAAATATATATATATATATATATATATATATATATATATATATATCATACCCACTGGAGAAAAGTGGAAAGGTTTTCTCCTAAGAATTAGAACAAGACAAAGGTGTATGCTATCACCACTATTACAAATTGTACTGGCTATTGCAGCAGTGCAATAGATGAGAAAAAGGAATAATAGGTACAAGAATAGAAAAGTAAGAATAAAACTCATTACTCACAGATGAAATTATCTACTTGAAAAATTCAAAAGAATGTGCAGATGAACTATTATTAAATTTTTGAAAAGATCATGGCCACTTACATTGTAGACATCTTTATTGTTCTGATTGTTTCTTCAGAATGCTTTTTAAAATGTTCTCAATATCCTGTACTTGATTAAGAAAGTTAAATCTTTAGCTTACCTGGATTCCAGTTGTTTTGTCAAGAATATTCCATAGGTTATACTATATATATATATATATATATATATATATATATCACAGTTCATTTCATTAGGAAGCAAATAATATGTCCTATCATGAATAAACTAGAGACCCAGTGCATGAAATTCATGCATGGGGGGTGGGGGGGAGTGTCCCTGCACCCTCTTGCAACATGGGACCCCTCAGAGGATGTCCAGCGGTCGGTTTAGTCCCTATCCAGGTATTCAGGATATGGCCGAAACTGGCAGTTCAACATCCTTTTCACAATCTGGAACCACAGGCTTCTACCCACTTGCCTTCCTGCATGCATGATTGTCCCTAACCACTTGCCTGCCTGCCTGATCACCCCTAACCACCTCTGCCTCATCCCTGGATACCTCGACTTTGTCCAGAAAATCGCTCTGCTGTCTGGTCTAATTGGCATATTACACTTTTATTATTATAGACTAGAGGCCCGGTGCATGAAATTTGTGCACTGGGGGGGGTGGGGAGGGGGTTCCCTTAGCCCAGCCTGCACCCTCTCACAGCCCAGGACCCCTCAGGGGATGTCCTAAGCCATCAGTCAGACATCCTTAGTGCTGCTGCAGAGGTCAGAGAGGCTTCCGCTACTGCCACTGCGCTCGCCAGCTGTGAGCCTGGCTCAAGGCTTCTGGCTGTGATGCTCCCCCTGTGAGAGTGCACTGACCACTAGGGGGCAGTTCCTGCATTGAGCACCTGCCCCCTGGTGGTCAGTGTGCATCATAGCGACCGGTCATCCCTCCATTTGGTCTATTTGCATATCGGCTTTTTATTATATAGGATGGTTCCAAGTATCATCAATGAGTTATACTGGTGACAAGCACATTTCTTTATTTCAAAATTGCATATTTCCCCTTTGCCACTCTGTGTGGTAATACTTGGCTGTAATGACAATATTCAGTTCCTCACTCATCTTTCATCTAAAAATTGGTACTATCTTCTGAAGATTTTTACTTGAATCAATTATTTCAGTGTGGTACACTGATTTTGTGTGAATCATTTTTACTATTTTTACTTATAAAAAAGTAAATAGTGAATACTCTACTGAGACCAACAGGTCTCAGAGAAAGCATAGTTCAGAGGATATAGCACCTACATGGCAATCTTATTTCTCTTTTGGTTCCTTGCAAGTTCAGTTAAGGTTTAAATAAATCTCAAGGATGACTACACTGTCTTACCAGTTGATGCAGCTCTATTACGCTTGAATTTAAAGACACATCTAATTGACATTTTTAAGATGCTAAATAACTCCAGCAATAACCTTGAATGTAAGTTAATAGCTCATTGTCCTGTCAAGTGGAATTCTTTGTAGAGCATGTTTAGTGTTTATCAAAGCTGAGTATAAAAGAATAGTCAGAAAAAGTCAAGTGATTTTTCTCCTCTAATTCTACAAGATTAGATTTAATATAGGTTTCAATTGGATTATTGGGAAATAAGAAATGTTGAAAAAGCTTTGAAAACTAGCATGTTTTGGAGAAATAGTTGGCACTGAATAGGTAAAAATATTTTGTTGTTGTTGTTTTTGTTTGTTTGTTTGTTTTATTTTTTTCAGAAGCAGCATTTCTATCAGGAACTTTTATTTAAACTTTATCTCTGCTTTGCAGGTGTCCCTGGAAAGAAGGAAGAGAAAACAACGAAGGCAGTGGAGCAAGGTAAAAAAAAATGAAGGAGGTTGACATTATCTTCTTTAGAGAGACAACAACATGAGGAGGAAAGCCCTGGATGCAGACAGGCGGAAGATAATAAGCTTTAAATCTATTGCTCCCTCTCACTGTCCTCCATGTTTTTCTGTGCCAGGGAGAACGTGAGGCAGCGATCTGGGTTTTGCTCTTTTGTATAATTAAACTTGGAATATAAGTTCAGAACAGGGAAACTCTGCAGACTGCTTAATTACATCAGGAAAAACACTGACGATTGTTGTGAATAAGGAAATGATCCTCTGGGGAAACTGGGAGACATTTTCCAGTTTGATTTGCGGTTTTAACAACACCTGACCAAAACCAGTTCAAAGAATAAATATGAAACAATTCCATTTATGCAAAAACAATTTCTACTGCTTAAAGAACATGTAACAGTTAAAACAAAGATAAAAAAGCAGCAATAGAAATAAGTTGAGTTTCTATTATGACTTCAGCTACTGATTTCCCCAAGAAGTTTGAATTTTTAATTTTACCTGTCATAATATTATAAATAATGCATTTTAATTTTTGTTTATACAGCTAAATAATACATATGTCACTCCAGAATATGCTTGAGAAAAATACTATAGCAGAGTTAAAACATTTAAAATGATGTTAGGTCTTTTTGTTAGAAATCAGAGTTCTACTAATTCTAATAGTTGCCCCGACTCAAATTTTATATGTTATAATATCATATTATTTATTATTTACTATAATTAACAAATAAAATCATAACTATCAATAATTTTGTTAAGAGTAAAGTAAAATAATTTATCCTCTTAAATTTGAGATGCAGTTAAATTTCTAATATCAGAAATTTACTATTTTATATACAAATATATTCTAATATTCTTCAATTCCTCACATTTTAGACAAATAAACTAAGGTTAAGGATTCAGTTAAGACAATTATTCAAGGATTTATGTCTTTGGTCTTTTTTAAATAAAAATAACATTAGGGAAATGTTTTCAAATTAATTTGGCTTCTGAAAACTACCAGGAATGTGAGAGAATGTTTCTGTCAACTGCTTTTTGAAGTATTTTAGTCTCTGAAATATAAAGTGGAGGAGTATGAGTACTAATTTCAACTTGTTCACTTAGACAAGGTTCTGAAGCATAAACTTTCTCTTTAAAAATGATGTTCATTATATCTGACCTGCTTACCTGGCAAGATGCAAAGCCCAAATAAGGAAACATCCATTAAAGGATTTGAAAAGTTATAAATTCCTAGGTAAACATTCAGTATTTGCTTAAGTATATATTTTTTATAATATCAGCTTTAATGTGGGTGAGATCAGCTATCAAATTGCCTTCATTAAGCTGCATACATTTTGCCTATATAGTGTAAAGGCTTTGATTACTTGTCTTTTATGACTTTTAAAGATTTCTTTGATAGCCAAGGCATATTAAGAGAAGGAGAAGGTTGACTAAAATAAAAAATGGCTATACTATAATAGTACCTGATAGCTAACTGATTTAAGCACAGGCTGTTTATTTCTTCTAATTAAGTTAGTGTCATTTTCATTAATTCTAGCATGTTTTCTCAAGTTGATAGGAGACTGAAAATGGCTTTTAGAGATTTAATGAACTTACTCATTCATACGATTTCATAATTCACATTTTAAATAACAATACCTTTTATCTTATGAAGACCTTAAGTTCTTTACTATGTGAAAAGTCTAAGAGGTTATTTCAATGGCTTTTTATATTGATTAAGTAAATCATTTCAGTTTTTTAAATATTATCAAGCAATGGTTTCATGTTATTCAACTATAAAAATCATAAGTAGAGTATCTGAATAACTTGCATACTTTTTAATAGGATATCTATGACTAGCAATAAGTATGAAATATATATATTTGTGATTTTAATAAAGCAGGGAGTTTATATGAGAATAAATCAATGACATTCTATAGATTTCATAAATATTCTGATATTTATTCATAAGATGGTGCTTTCAGACTGTTGTGTACTTTTTATCCTTGTGTAGTTTTCAACTATCTTCCTACGTATGCATAATCTCAAACTAGTTCTCAATGCAGTGAAGTGCTATTGATTCACTAAAGAGTTACTTTACTTCATTTAAGTGTGAACTTATGGATTTGTGCAAGGGAAAAACTATATGGTTTTCATAATTCTTTATGGATGTCAACTGCATTTTTTGATCTGTGTAAAATTGTGCACATTGAACTTCTGCACTTAGTCTGCATTATAATTGGAAAAACTTGTGAAAATATTGATTAAATGAAACTTGATAGGAAATTCAGATAGTGAAAGAGGAAACACACTTTAATGTTAATGTAACTTAGCAAATTAGACATTATGTCATATAAGAGGTAGAAATTTGATTAGTATAATTTCTGCAAAAGTAAAAAAAAAACTTTTATCTTTAACTCATGATGAATCATTTTTAGTTACTTTTCTCATAAAGATCAGACATTGATGAGAATAGAGTTTTGAGTATTAAGAAACTCTAAGTTCCTTCACCTTAAAGGGGAACACCAAAATAGTCACACACATCCACCTTATTTCTTTTTGTTTCTCCTTGTTTGGAAAGCAATTACCTAGAAGCATCAGGAGAAGCAAATGTTTTCCACAATAAATGCTACTATCCTTTTAGTAAGAACTAAGGACTGCCAAAGATAAAACATTTCAACACATGTTACTGTATGAGGATTCAACATTATATATTTGTATATCTACAAAGAGTACATCACATTTATTAAGCTCAGTTTATTATTTAATTTCTTATACTTAATGTAAATTTGATATTTCTTTTCAAAATCAACTTACCCTCCTAAATCTCTCTTTTTCAATCTCACTTTTTCTGAGGGAAAAAAAATCTTTAATAATATTTGCTAGTTCCTAGCCAGAGTAGCAAAACAATCACTCTAAAGAAGTGGCTTGCTATTTAATGGGGCAAGGAAGGAGACCTGTCAAGATAATTAACTTTAAAAGATTGGAGTCCCAGAGTCTCTTTGCTTTTAATGTTTTCCTTCCAATTGACTTATGTTCAACAGTGAAAAGGTGAAGTAAATAGTAATGAATTAAATCACTCTCAAATCATCTTTCCTTTTCTTTTATTCATGCCTGCATATGGCATCACTTTAGGTCTTCTATGAGAATCTGTTCTAAGAGCCTGTAACAGTGCTGGCATGTTTAATAGTTGTTGGATGAATGAGAGTGGAATTGTTGAAGGAAGAAATATTAGGTAATCCAGACTATAGTGAACTGTGCCTCTATAAATACTGTGCACTTAGAATGTGTTAATAAATCAAAATGTGATTTCTAATATTTTAGAAACCAGAAGACAAATGATGGGATCCTTCAACTACTCCCATTTGAAAGTGGAAATAGTAGAGAAAAATTAATATATATGCATTGTTAATTACATTATTGATTTGATAATTTTTGTAGATAGTTCTCTTACATAAATAAAACTGTATGTGCAGTTATAATCTGGTTAAAGATATAGAAAATATTAAATTTTAGTAATTGCAATTATTATAAACTATTTTTTGAAGCTGAAAGTGGAAGAGAAAATAAAACAATTGCCCAATGAAGGTAATATATGAGTCTAAATATTGAAACATTATGAAACTGAGCCTAGATTATCTCTTATTCCTTCCAAAACTCAAAATTATCTAGTCAGCTGAGGTTTTAAGTAGTATGTTTCTTATAGCAGAATATAGAAGCTTTTTGCTTCGTTAAGGAAAGACTGGTCTAGGAAGACTTTCATTTCTAAGATGTTAGGGAAAAACACAGTTTATAAACTTGAATTCTTATCGATACTTCATTATCCCAAAACTAAACTGAAACTTTTATTACAGAAATATTAAGTATAGTTTTCATCCTCTTAATTAAAAATCACTTCAAATTCAATTAAGTGGAAGCATGACAAAAATGTTTATGAAAAAAGAAAAACATTAATAGAATTGAGGGCCTGTTAACACCCCCTAAAAATAAATTTAAACAAATTAGTAATCATTTTGTAAGGGATAAAATTGGAGAATGTGGATCATAAATGTATCAAATTCAGTGATTTCCTGTAATAAAAACATCAGTTTTGCTTTAAATTAAGAAATGTCTCAAAATGCATTAATTTGCTAATTTGTGTCCCTCTAAAGAGTTTCTGTCTTTCTTTGCCTCTGATGCTATTTTGTAAGCAACAGTACCTTCAATAATTGTATTAGTGTTTTAAATTGTCACAGCAGCAGGTGAAACTCAAATGCTATTCTATGACTTGTAAATTTGTTCTCATCCACCTTGCCAGATTCTTTTATTCTTTGTATCTGTACGGGTCTATGTAGAATCTGTGATGTGTACCTATTGCAATTTTAGCTCATACTTTCAAGTGAGTGTTAATATCTAAGAGTAATGATTTCCCTGAGAGAAACTTACTTATTTAAATGCTGAATGTTCTTATTTCATGGTGTGTCAACATTATTTTTTTAAAATTATAATTATTATCAATGGAGTAAAACTGAAACATCTAGTTAACACAAGTTGTATTAAATTATTTGCTTGATATGTGATTATAAAATAACCTATTTGCACATGTGGACTAAGTCATGCTGTTGACTCTCAATAAATGTTAAATGATTACAATTTACTATTGATTCCTGTGAATTCCAGCCTTCTTAACAATCGTTTGCACATTAGTTGTTTAATATTTATTGAGCGCTCACAACAGACTAGGCGCTGGGGAATGGGTGTGAAGAGCACGGAGTGAGCTTCAGAGAAATGATCTACATAAGGAGCCCATGCAACACCTGGACACACGAGTGTACTCTGCTTATTTATATGTTGTTTTTTACTTTTTTTTCTTTTAAGGTATTACATATATGTCCTTATCGCCCCATTACCCACACACCTCCATCCTCCACTCATGCCCTCACCCCCCTATTGTTTGTGTCCATTGGTTAGGCTTATATGCATGTATATAAGTCCTTTGGTTGACCTCTGTCTTCAAGA